AGAGGTTTTTGCTATACGGTGCATGTGCTCGCCAGATAGGCAGAGACAGAGAGACAGAAAGTGAGAAATCACCCCCCGGGGAGATGGTCACACTGCAACCTTTTCTCTTCCATTCTCCTCTCAGGATCTTGGGCACGTATGCACACATGCCCAGCGTGTTTTAAGCCACCAGATCTGGGACACGAACCGTGGTCAACTACGTGGGAGTCCAGCAACACAGCCATTACGCTAACTGCTGTCCAGCGACATAGCCTATGCTAACTGCTGGTCCTTTTTTCTCTCTCTCTTTTAAGACAAGCTCTCCGTCTGCCGTGGTCTTCCTACTCAGCCTCTAAGTAGCTGGGATGACAGGCGTGTGCCACCATGCCTGGCCTGTAGGCCGGTGGAAGTCGAACCTGGCAGCCCACACGGTCCTAGCCTACAATGCACTAGCAGCTAGCACCACGTGGCTGGGCTGGCCCGGTCCTCTCTTGACCACTCAGATCCTTTATAGACAGGGAGGAGGGAGCAGGGGGCCAGGGTGGTTCATGGTGGCAGGGGCAATTCGGTCACCTCGGGCCACAGGAAGGGGTCTGGCCCTAACTTGAAATGGTCTCCTTAGGAAGAGGCGTACTTAGCACCTCTTTGCCCCGTGGTGGGTTCTAGTAACCAAATCTGGGGCGACTGGAAATGCTGCTCCCCCCCTTGTCCCCTAGGTGGCTTACTGTGGGCCTTACCTCCTGAAACAGGTGACATGAAACCGGAGCCTGCTGTCCATGCCTAGAAAAACGCCCAGGACGTCGCAGGCCCTCACGGCTCCGTGTTTGACATGGCGCTATTCCAGGGACTCGTTATTCCACTTCCCAGTGACTGGAGAGGCAGCCTGACCTTCACGGGTGCGGATGACAGGACCTGGCCCTGCCGCCCCGGCTGCCTAGCTCTCTGGCTCCGACACCGTTCGGAAGAGTGGGACAAGGACATCTCCGTGGTGAAGACGAAATTAGCTAATACTTCGGTGCTCCGCTCACGTAGACGTGGTAGGCCACCACAGCACCGAGACCATGGGGTCAAACCCAGGGCTGTCTACCCACACGTGACACAGTCTCTCCCATAAGGCAGGTCACCGGGGACCTCTGGGGCATGGGAGTTAAAGAACCGAGACACCTGGGGGAGGGTGGCAGCTGGAGGAGGCCTGGATGCCCGCCCGCCCCTGATGTAATGGCGACAAGGAGCCTCCATGGGTCTTCCATCAGGACAGGGAGACGAGCGGGTTCTGGGAGCAGTCTGGCAGCAGACAGGATGGCAAACAGTGGAGCTCAGAGTGCAGCCTGCGAGGCTGCCCGCCAGCCGGGCGGTGCTGAAGGAAGCGCAGCCCCTGGCTCCCTCGCGCTCCGGGTTCCCAGCAGCTAAGGCTGGCCTCTGTCAGGAGAGGCTCTGAGGGAGGTCGGCAGAGGGCACTGTTCTGTCAGGGACAGGAGCCACCCCAAGGGAGCACTGGCCTCTGGGTGTGGGGGCCAGGAGAGGGCCACCAGGCACGGTCCCAGCTAGGCATTTCGACTGCAGCAAACTGCAAGTAAAGGCTGGTTCAGGCCCTTGCAACCCGCTGTGGGGGCTGCCTTCTCAGTGCAGGCTGCAGGCCAGGCAGGAGAGCCAGGCAGGGTGGGCAGGGCCAGGCGGAGACCGGCAGCACCAGCCCGCGACAGCAGGGAGGTCCCAGGGTCCCCAGTGTGGATCCCAGGCCTGCCTCGGAACGAGCAGTGCCACAGGGACCAAGTGCAGAATGGACCCGGGCTGCGCCAGCCAAGAACGGAGGGGGCTGCGGTTCTCCACTGTCGCCTCACTTTATTGAAAGCCGTGATGAGACTGGACGAGCAGAGGCCATCTCCCATCTCTGCCTGGGAGACAGAGCCCACGGCCAGGCTCCCGCCGGTGCGCCGTCAGGATCCACGCAGCCCCTTCATGCCAGCGCCTGGAAGACCTCCACCTTCTCCCGGTACAGGTGGTGGAACTGCTTGGCCAGACAGTGGAAAGGGGCTTCGTAGTTCTCCATCTCCTTCTGCAGAGACAGTTCAGCAGCGGCTGTTACTGTGCCATCGGGGCGGCAGCGGGCAGACTGCTCCTGATCCGCGCCCACTCCGCCTCCTAGCCTCGACCCCCGGGCTGGCCTCTCGAGAGGGGAACTGACACGGGGAGGTCAAGGCAGGGCGCTGAAAGCCACGCCTGGCGCAATGGTGGAGTGTGGGTCTAAACCCCGGTTTGTACCTACAGAGCCTGCTGACGTTAGCTTTGGCTACGTACAGGACAGGGTGTGGACATGGGGGCCTTCCCGTTTCCCCCTTAGTTTTGACAGAGGCCCCCAAAGCAGAGTAGCAGATGATGAGTCCCGTGCCCTGGGGGAAGAGCCAGGCAGGAAGGTCCACCATCCTCGGGATGGGGTTGGAAAGACTAAGGGGGAAGCACTCAGCACCCCGGGAAAGTGATCCGTGCTGTGGCATTGCCACCCCCCCCCGACCCTGGAGGGGTGCCTCTCCCTCAACTCAAGTCGGAGGGAGGTTTTCAAGTGATAGCCCGAGGCCCGGGAGCTTGGCAAGAATTGAGGCGAGACGGGCTGGCTGCTTGGACAGCCAAGCCAGGGCTGCCAATGGGCCGGCCCGCATCGCCTAACTGTGAGGTTGCAGCTGCCCGGCTTCCCTGGCCAGGAGGGTCATGTGGGAGTCAGCTTGGAGCTGTCTTACAGGGACCTTCAGAGGGGAAGGGTCCCCAAATGAAGGGACAGCCAGGCACTGAGGCTGCAGGACAGGTGGGCTGGGGCTGGGAGCGGTGTCTCTGGAGCGCCCAAAGACCGAGAGGGCCACCACAGATCCCTGTGCTCCTCTCCCCGCTCTCTGCAGAGGAAGTGGGACTTTAGGTCACGTTTGGAATTTTGACAATGGCCCAGGACTGGGTATCTTAATAACTGAAATAATTAATATTTTTGTGGTGAAAGGCGCCCGAAGGACTTATTGAGAGATCAGAACAGTGATGTAACTTGCTCTAGATCTTACTGACGGGGTAGGGGCGGACGGGCGCTCCAGGAGTGTGAGCGGGCTGCGGGGGGCACGGTGCCCTTTCACCTTAGCGCCGTCACGTGTGTGCACGCACGTGCAGGTGCATCTGTGGGTGCTGTTATTTACTTTTTTTTTTTTTTTTCAGTTTTTGCCATAAGGTGTGTGCACTAGCTGGGGAGACACGGGCAGAGAGGAAAAATGAGAAATCACCCCCTAGGGTGATTGCGACCATACCGCAATCCCTACCCCTCCATTCTCTCAGGATTTGGGGCACGCATGCATGCATGCCAAGTGTGATTTTTCAAGCCATCAGGTCAGAAACTCAAATTGCAGGGTCGGCTATAAGAGATCTAGTTGCCTTAACCACCATGCCACCTGAGGCCCTATTTATTTTCTTTTTAAGAAATAAGTTGGCAAAAGAAATAACCCACTACTTGCAAGCCAGCAGCCCCAGCTGGGGACGCACAGGAGCCCGTTCTGAAGCAGTACTGGCAGCAGACAGAAATGCAGCCTAGAAGGGGGCAGTGACATTGCAATGAAATGGAAGTATTTCCAAACCGAAGGACTTTTCTGAAGTTATCCAGCACGGTGAACGGTCCACAGCCCTGGGGTGAAGGGGCCTGGCAGTTGGGGAGGAGCCCTGATTAGCACCCTAGCACCCAGGTTCTGTAGTTGGAGGTACACAGCTGTCCGCTATGTCAGCCACAGTGACAGAAGCATGCAACCATCTTGCGATGGTTCCCTGGGCTTCCTGGCAAGGGAATCCTAAGCAGAGGAAGCAGCTGGCCAAGACCAAAGCAGAGGGGCCCGGTCCAGAGTGTGCTAAGGAGGCAGCATGCGGCCCAGACCAGCGTCTGTGCCGAGCCCACGGCTGCCACCACCCAAGGGGTGTCCTCTCCAGTCGGACATGGGACAGGGCTCAGCTGCATCTGCACAGCGCCCCCAGTGGTGCAGTGTGACCTGGCAATGCTGATGTCAAGCAGTCACCACAGGACATGAGAGAGGATAGTTAAGTACCGAATGGACAGAGAGCACACGTATGAGGATTTCCGAGTGGATTCTGCAGCTCTTCAAAGCACAATGTTGGAAGAACGCAACATACAAAGTAAGAAACTTGAAGCAGACAAGTCTCCACAGGCACCATGGAGTGCTCTCAAGTAGCTGCAAAGTGAACCGTTTCCCGGATGCAGTGAGAGGGTTGCCAGTGACGGGCATCTCTTGTCAAGGGACTGAGCATAATGTCACATAGGTAGCTGGGACACCTGTAGAGCTGGCCTGCTTAGAGGAGGGCTCGTGGTCTCGGAGTGGGCTTAGAGTGGTGCTCAATCTGGCCTAGAATTCCGCCCGAGAGTCCCAGGTGGGCTCTGTGGGAGGCCGGGCTCTTGCAGAAGGCCCAGCGTTCAAGCTGAACAGCCCTGGGGCCTAGTGCTGGCTCTGTCCCTCACTGGCTGTGCCACCAGGGAGTGCGGCACAACCTGGGTCTGGACAGGCCAGGAGTGGCTGCTCTGTGGCGCAGCTGTGAAGCCTAAATAGGTCACGTGTGTACCTAGCACACAGTAGGGCTCTGACTCACATCGGCTCCCTCCACCTTGCCTGTCTAGGAGGGCAGTATCCCTACGGGTCCTTCTCGCTCACATTCACTAACGTCCAGCTTCTTACAGAGAACAATGTGTCTGTGTTGTGTCAATTCTGATTAAAGAAATGCTTTTGAACTTTTGGGCCTAACAATTTCCGGCGCTCCAGGAGTGTGAGCGGGCTGCGGGGGGCACGGTGCCCTTTCACCTTAGCGCCGTCACGTGTGTGCACGCACGTGCAGGTGCATCTGTGGGTGCTGTTATTTACTTTTTTTTTTTTTTTTCAGTTTTTGCCATAAGGTGTGTGCACTAGCTGGGGAGACACGGGCAGAGAGGAAAAATGAGAAATCACCCCCTAGGGTGATTGCGACCATACCGCAATCCCTACCCCTCCATTCTCTCAGGATTTGGGGCACGCATGCATGCATGCCAAGTGTGATTTTTCAAGCCATCAGGTCAGAAACTCAAATTGCAGGGTCGGCTATAAGAGATCCAGTTGCCTTAACCACCATGCCACCTGAGGCCCTATTTATTTTCTTTTTAAGAAATAAGTTGGCAAAAGAAATAACCCACTACTTGCAAGCCAGCAGCCCAAGCTGGGGACGCACAGGAGCCCGTTCTGAAGCAGTACTGGCAGCAGACAGAAATGCAGCCTAGAAGGGGGCAGTGACATTGCAATGAAATGGAAGTATTTCCAAACCGAAGGACTTTTCTGAAGTTATCCAGCACGGTGAACGGTCCACAGCCCTGGGGTGAAGGGGCCTGGCAGTTGGGGAGGAGCCCTGATTAGCACCCTAGCACCCAGGTTCTGTAGTTGGAGGTACACAGCTGTCCGCTATGTCAGCCACAGTGACAGAAGCATGCAACCATCTTGCGATGGTTCCCTGGGCTTCCTGGCAAGGGAATCCTAAGCAGAGGAAGCAGCTGGCCAAGACCAAAGCAGAGGGGCCCGGTCCAGAGTGTGCTAAGGAGGCAGCATGCGGCCCAGACCAGCGTCTGTGCCGAGCCCACGGCTGCCACCACCCAAGGGTTGTCCTCTCCAGTCGGACATGGGACAGGGCTCAGCTGCATCTGCACAGCGCCCCCAGTGGTGCAGTGTGACCTGGCAATGCTGATGTCAAGCAGTCACCACAGGACATGAGAGAGGATAGTTAAGTACCGAATGGACAGAGAGCACACGTATGAGGATTTCCGAGTGGATTCTGCAGCTCTCCAAAGCACAATGTTGGAAGAACGCAACATACAAAGTAAGAAACTTGAAGCAGACAAGTCTCCACAGGCACCATGGAGTGCTCTCAAGTAGCTGCAAAGTGAACCGTTTCCCGGATGCAGTGAGAGGGTTGCCAGTGACGGGCATCTCTTGTCAAGGGACTGAGCATAATGTCACATAGGTAGCTGGGACACCTGTAGAGCTGGCCTGCTTAGAGGAGGGCTCGTGGTCTCGGAGTGGGCTTAGAGTGGTGCTCAATCTGGCCTAGAATTCCGCCCGAGAGTCCCAGGTGGGCTCTGTGGGAGGCCGGGCTCTTGCAGAAGGCCCAGCGTTCAAGCTGAACAGCCCTGGGGCCTAGTGCTGGCTCTGTCCCTCACTGGCTGTGCCACCAGGGAGTGCGGCACAACCTGGGTCTGGACAGGCCAGGAGTGGCTGCTCTGTGGCGCAGCTGTGAAGCCTAAATAGGTCACGTGTGTACCTAGCACACAGTAGGGCTCTGACTCACATCGGCTCCCTCCACCTTGCCTGTCTAGGAGGGCAGTATCCCTACGGGTCCTTCTCGCTCACATTCACTAACGTCCAGCTTCTTACAGAGAACAATGTGTCTGTGTTGTGTCAATTCTGATTAAAGAAATGCTTTTGAACTTTTGGGCCTAACAATTTCCGCCATGGAAGGGTGTTAGACAGTCAATGAACCATGTAGGCCCTCCTCTGGGTCAGCGGGATGACCACTGCTGTGTTTCAGAAGAGAGGCGGCGGCGGCCTTGGTGTCAGGACGGGGCTGTGTCTCCAACAGCATTTCAATCACAGCTTTCTGAACCGGGCTCCAGTGGTGCTTCTGTGAGCATCCACTCAGGGGGACTAGTTAACTTGCACAGTTAACATCGAGTGCTTAACTGCGCCTCCTCAAGCAGAATTTATGTCCCAACACCTGATCGGAGTTTCAACACGCACCCAGTGGCTTTGGTGACTACCGTGCTGGGATGAGCTCTGGTTTCGGAGTTCCATCAGGAGTTCCGGGAAACAGGGGGATACTGCGGTGGGGGACACGTCACTGATGCAAACTGAGGAAGTGGGACTACGGGGACACCGTGTCCCATGGGCTGTGGAGCTCAGTGCTTGGCCCAAAGGGGTTTTGCATAAAACAGGAGGGAGCTGGCATCTAGTAGAGGCCCACTAATTTGGATTTCATTAATTTAGCGTTTGTGATCCTTGGTCCGGAGGCAAGGGTGACAAATATTTATCTCTACAACTGTAAGTACAAGCTTTAGTAAGTAAGAACGGTATAAACGCGATTACTAGGGGGGACATTTATACTTTAAAAAAAGCTAACACTGTTTACTATGCACCAGACTTTGCACTAAGCATTTTATATTCACCATTTTACTTAATTCTGTATTTTTAACTCACTGAGTGATCCATTTTATTATCCCATTTTCCAGGTGAGAAGCCTGCAGAGGCAGGAGCGCGCCCAGGGCCCCACAGCTAGTGCAGCTATGGACTCCGGAGGCCAGAGCAGGCCTTCGATGCTAGCTGTCCTTACGGAAGCACCTGCCTTGAGGGGTGGACAAGCCCCGTTTATACGGCAGCGAAGCGGCCAGAGTTTTGCAGAGGCAGCGACTCGAGAGTCTGGAGCTGAAGTAGAGCTGGAGCAGAGCTCCTGGCTATGAACTAGCACGCCAACTCTTTGGAGCAACCCCCAGGCCTGGAGGCCACAAAGCGAGGCCTCCAGGCCTGGCAGGTCCCCCAGCGGCCTAGAGAGGGCAAGACAGCCGGCTTCTCGGCTTCGGCCGGGTTGAGACGGATGTTTCTGGGCCACACCTGCTCCTGCAGGGCGACCCTTGCACACATGCCTGCCTGGGCTCCAGGGCATCAGCAGCACCAGATAGCCCTTGTCAGGACAGACTGAAGAGGGGACAGAGCTCCACTTTCCCACGTAACGAGGCCTCCTGCTGGTCTCACCGGAGGGCATTTTGTGGCCTGCAGTCACCCCGAGGCTGCAGCAAGGCAGAGACAGGGGAACGCCAATGGGAACGAGTGGTCACCGGTCCCAGCCCTGGCTCAACCCTTTATTAGCCATGTGACCTTGGGTGGGTCACCTCCCCTCAACCTCGAACTAGGAATCGTGGGACCACCTTCTATTAGTAGTTCACAGGACTGACTTAGAGGGGCTGTATGAGTGTTCCTACAAAATCATAACCCATAATACTTCACGCAAACGCCCAGCCCCACGGTACGAGCACAGTCGGCCTTTCCCCAGGGCTGGCTGGCTCATCCGCCTTCCGGTCACGCAGGAGTGACGCGTGCTATCCTGGGAAGACCCTGGGCTGCGAACGCGAACATCCCTCTGAACTAGGCCGCGTGTGTGCAGGGACCGCTCCGTGCATGTGAGGTCATGCGAAAGCGCCTCCAGCAGAGGCCCACTGCAGACTTGGCGAGGAGGCCAGTGCAGATACTCACCACCGAAGTTTCAAAATATTCCAGGCCTTGGCCCAGCGCCCACGCCCGGGCCTGCGCCGGGTCCACTGCTCGTCTGCTGGCCAGGTCTGTCTTACTCCCCACTAACACACCTACTCAGAAGAAAACCAAAACGTCACATTTCACTGGTGAGCTGGGAGGCATTAGGGAAACGAGCAAGCATGCTATTTGTGGGGTGTGCAACACTGTGAGAGGTTATGAGATGAGGGGGTGACAACCAACAGAGAAAGCCCCCCAAGGGCCAGAGAGCTGGTGGGCCTTGCTGTCAGTGCGTGGCCTCTGCTCAGCCCTTTTTCTAGATGTCACGTGTACCTGTCCCTCCTGTCCCCCTCGGGTTGCAGCACCACGAAAGCGAGGGCCAAATTTATGTGAGCATTTGTGCCAACTCCTAACACATGGAGCAAACTTTAAAGACGGTCATTAATACTAATCTGAGGCCTGGGCTCCGAGTCAGGGAGTCGGAGGTAATTTCGGTCCGCTCCCAGCTGCATCAGCTGCAGCTAATTTCTGAGTCCGTCTCTGGAGACCGCTTTCCCTGGTCTATAATGAGGAGGATTTGTTGATCGCACACAGGGATGAAAAATAAACTGACTTAAAGCGTTCAAAAGTGACAACAGGACCTGAATATTTACTTGTGCCCTGTGTGCAGGAGACAGCAAGGAGTCCTTCTCTAGGGTTGGCTTTCCAGAAGCAACCGTGATGGCACCTCCCCCCGCCATTATCCTGTGTCTCCTCGTCACCCACCCACCCAGGTGGGTGTCATCCTTCCCGTCTCACAGACTCAGAGAGGGTGGCACTGAGGCTCTGAAAGGCAGAGCTGGCGTGCCATCAGGGCCACCAAGGCCAGAGGGCCCAGGCGCCCTCCCTGGCACCCACTGCTCCCTCTGCAATGACCTTGCACTCTGCTGAAGGACGAGGCGCTGGGCAGCACGGACATCTGTGGCTCCTACCTGGGAGGCAGGTGCCTGGTATCTGCACCCGAGCCTTCTCCAGCCACTTGCTACAGTTGGTGAAGGACTGCTCACTGGTCACGTCATAGACGAGACAGACGACGTTGGGACTCTCCCACTGTGCGAGAGGGACGGGGGGCACGTGTCAGATCAGGGAGTCACTCGAGCTTGGGGGATGAGGTGGCCTTCCAAGGGAGGAAACGTGTGGGTGGAGGGAAACGAAAAACTAGAGAGAGTGAGTCAGAAAACGGAGCCACGCGCACAGACGGCAAGCGATTCACCCAGGGGAACGGACAGGAGAGCTCCCGGCCGTGCCAGGCTGTCTGCCGGGCGCTTTCTGGGCATTGCTGTGCAAGTCCCCAATTTTGCAGGCTTGGTCTGAAGACTCCTACCTCGTAGCGGAAGAAGCTGAGTCGAGAGAGTGTAACGACCTGCCCAGTTCAGACCTGCTTTAAACGGAGGTGGGGGAGGATCGAGGCCTCTCTCTACTCGGATACCTGCTCCCGCCTGCCTCTGGCTTCATGAATTTGTCCTTAGTCATGGGTACCAGGAGCCCACACTGTGCCAGCTGTTATGCTTTTCTGCTTTGCAGACCTGGAAGAGCATTCCTTTTTTTCCCCTTTAAATCAGCTAGTCCCTGGAAGCTTGTCTGCTTGCATCTTGTTAATAAGGGCTGGCTTTTCAAAATGCAGAGAACACTTTCTGCTTCTCCTGCAGTGTCTACATCAATCCAAATCCAGACCTCGTTGGACAGGGCTTGCTGTCCCAGTGAACAGTCAGGGCTGCACTTGCACTTGGCTTCAGAGGCTGCTCTGAGTCCCAGGAAGTCCTGCTGCCTGCCCTGGGTGCAGGAGGGTCCTGTGTGGGCAGTGGATTCGACCTGGTGCACGTGGCCCATGGTCATGCCTGGTTTATTTCCAGGCATAGAGAAAATGCTTTATCCTTGGAAGGCCAGTCCAGGATCAGCCCGGAGTGCCAGCTCCCCACGCTCAGGCTGCACTGGCTCCTGGAGGCATCCGGGACATCCTGGGCAGAACTGACGGCTCCCGGCACCATCGTTCTGCAGACCGACTCCTGCCTCGCTCTTCGATCACATTGATGCGCCCCAACCTCGGCATGCAGGGGATGCCTCAGTGTGGCTTCAGTTCATAAAACCCGCCTGCTTCAGGCCTGGGATCGAGCTGAAGCTGGGGTGGGAGAAGCCGGAGTCAGGGCCTGCTGCAGAGGGTGCGAGCTGAGCAGTGGTGCATGGCCTGATTTGCCTAAACATCCTCCCTCCCACCCGGCACCCAGCCAGGCACACGGCAGACATGGGGTGACTTCAGGAGCCCACTCATGAAGCCAACTCCGTGTGAAGTGACCACCACTGGATCTACTTCTCTTGACAACAAACAAGGGACAGAAAACAGTTTCTATTTCGGCGTCGCCATTCTCGGAAGGGCAGGGGTGGCCCTGGGGAACTTGAGCCATCTAATCAGCTCACTGGCCCGATGAGCGCGCCGATACCTCGGAAGGTACAGCAAGCTGGATCTAGAGAGGACGGCTGGGTGGGAGGGGGACAGGCATGTGGGGGCAGGGGTGTGTCCCAGTAAACCCAGTGGAACAGTCCGCAGAAATCTGGGTGCTTCCGCTCCAAGGGATAGGCTGAGAAGGTGCACCTCATCCCAGGGCCCCTAGGACGCTCCCTAGAGGGGAAGGTACTCTCTGGAACCGTCAGGTTGAGAAGGAATGCTGACGGCCGACATGAGGATGCCGGGGGCAGGGGCCAGAGTGGGAGGGCTGCAGGGATCGGCCACACTGCTTGTGAGGCACTCTGAGGCTGCTGCTTCAGAGCAGGGGTGGGGCAGTCATGCCCGCAGCCATGCCTACTTGCCAACAGCCACAAGTCCCAGGCTGGGAGGATGCCCCTTAAGCCTTAAGGAATTCTGTCATGGTAGCTCTTTTTTTTTTTTTTTTAAAATTGACTCTAGGTTGTGTGAGCTTGCTGGAGACAGAGACAGAGAGAAAGTGAGGACGTCCTCCACCTGCCCCATGGGGGATGATCATGCAGCAATCCCTTCTCCTCCAGACTTCTCTCAGGATCTTGGGCACATGCACACACGTGCGTTTCTCAAGCCACCAGATCTGGGACTCAAACTGTGCAGTTGGCTATGTGGAATCCAGCCACCTTAAGGCCCTGCCATATACTGGCCTGACCAGCTTTTCTTTTTTCTTTTTTAGTTTTTACTTAACTTTATTTATGATTTTAACTTGACCAGAGACAGAGAGAGAGAGAGAGAGAGAGAGGGAAAGTGAGAAAGCAAGCTGCCAGGTCTGGGACTCAAACCATGGTCAGCCATGTGGGAGTCCAGCGCCCTTAACCACTATGCCACCTGCCAGCCTCCCTACTAGCTTTTCTTGATAGTACAGGGTGCTTCTGTGCGAGCCTTGCAAGGGACAGCTCTTTGGTGGGAGGTGGGAGTGGCTGGGGAAGACCACACGCTACTTGCCAGTTTATCCAGCATCTCAGAAAACAGCTCCTTGCCGGCAGAGTCAAAGATGAAGAGTTCCTAGAATCAGAAAGGCGTGTCCCAAGAAAGTCTACATGTGACAGAACCACTGGCTGCAAGTCACCAGCATCGCTCGTTGCTCACCGGAGACTTGTCTTGGGGTGAAACCCACACACCCACATGCACACCCTTTCCCACACAGGTTCTATCCTGCACCCTGGCCTGAGAGAGGTCCTGGGGAGAGGAACAAACGCGTCTCAGAGAGGGTGTGCAAGGCCTTCCCGCACTGACCGCGCTTTCCCTCCGTGCTGCGTCTCACCTCCCCTAACCCCGAGTGAAAAATACCAGGAACAAGCTGACGCCCCACCTGGCAGGACAGAATGCTAAACAGGCTGACAGTGCTCTGGTTTCCAAAAGGTCTTTCTGCACGTTGTTAACCAAATTGATTTTCAAATCTTAAAACAATTCTTTTTAAAGGAGGTCACTGAGGAGGCCTGGGGAAGGCGTTTAAAGTAGGACAGTCTGTCGTGGTTCTGGGATGGTGCAGGTGTAGTTTGGATGGAGGGGACAGGATGAACCTGCACCCCCCGCCCAGGTCTGAACCTTAGCCAGCCCCTCACCAGTGCTACTGCCCTGGGAAGTCCACTTGCCCCCTGCAGTTCCCTCTGGCACTCGAGGTCGCTGCTGGCTCCCAATCCTTGGCACGACCCGGGGCACGAGCTGCCTGGGCAGCAGCGCCATCATCTGCTCTGCCACTCGGTGCCCGTGTGCTCACTCGCCCCTTCTCCTGCGTCAGGGTACCTAGTTTCTTTTCTAGCTTTTTTTTTTTTTGCTCATGGACCTCTTTAAGAATCCGGTAAAAGCCACAAACCCTTTCTCCAGGAAAGTACACACACATAACATCTTGCTGCTCAGTCCTGAGGGGTCCGGATTCCCAAAGAGGGGCCCAGGGGCCTAAGAACCTTGGTATTAGACGGCAAGTTCTTTGCAGGCAAGGCTTGTCTCCCAAGCTTCCTTCCTCTTGCCCTTTCAGCCTCTCCCATAAGTGCATCCCACGTTCCCGATTCTGTTCCCAAATGCTCAGCAGGTCATTGCTAGGGAGGAACAGCCCCAAAGTCCTATGGGGTGAGGGCACCACTCACCACGCTGTCGCCCGTGTCAGGAACTGGCACCGTCTTCACCACCAAGTCCACCCCTGTTGTCTGCCAAGGACACCAAGCACGTGAGTATCAGAGGGCCCCAAGGGGGGGGTGTTCCAGGTCGACACACGAGCACCCCAACCCAACTCCCTAAAGGGGTATCCTGGACTCTCAGAACAAAGGTGGCTTGGACTGCAGGGTCAAGAGGACCTGGTCCCCTGCACCTCCCTGCCCATGAGCCAGCTGCCATATGCCGTATCCAGGCAGGCCACCAGTGTGCTCTGTAGACAGCTCTCACCCCAATCTCTGGGCCTCTTAGGGCAGCTCCCTGGGACGGCGCCAAGTGTCTCACTCAGGGGTAACGGATCGTGTCTCTGGAGGCCTCGGCCACCCTGACTCCCACGGCTCACCAGGGTGTAGTTCTTCTGGAAGTGGGCCCCGTCACTGCGGAAGATCTGGGCCAGGGCGGTCTTGCCCACTGTCGGGTCTCCTGTGGGGTCAGAGTGGGAGAAGAGCACCTCTGTGGTCCTGTCTGACTTCTGCCCTCCCACGCCAGAACACTCGTTTAGAGACCAGCAACTTCAGAGTTTTCAGAGAAAACGTCCTTGTCTCTCATGGGGACTTGTTCTGAGGTCACGGGCAGGGCGACAGGCCTGTGAGCACATTTCTTCATGGCTCATCCTTTTATCCAAAGGAACTGACCCAGAAGGTAACAGAGCTTAAAGAGGGCTTCGGAGCCCGGGAAACAAACTGACACTCTTTGGCAGAAACACAGAGGATGGGAAAAGCTGTCACTTCCAAGTCTGAATGTACTGCGAAGTCCGGAAGTCCGGAAGGTAAAGAGGTGTGGCCAGGCGCAGCCTTGCAGCCTCACCTCGCACCTGAGCCAGCCTGGGCTCAGAGCTTCCACAGGAACACGTTTAGGGGCGGGAGCTGGGAGTCCGGCACGCACCGGCAGCGAGAAGTCAGCTGCCTTCTGCCCGGAGCCCACTTCCGGTGGTCCGTACCATCCCCGCCTCAGTGTGCCCGTTTCTATCACGATGGGCCAGCCTTCCGAGGCCTCGCACCAATTCTTTTCTTTCTTTTAAATGTATTTTAGTTTTTGCTATAAGGTGCATGTGCTCTCTAGAGAGAGGCAGGGGTGGGGAGGGGGCGGGGAGAGGGGAGACAGAGACAGAGGAAAAGTGAGAAATCACCCTCCAGGGAGGATGGCCATGCCACAATCCCTTCTCCTCCAGGCTCTCCTCAGGATTTGGGGCACATATGCACATGTACCCCAACATGATTTTCAAGGTGCCGGGTCCGGGACTCGAACAATGCAGCTGGCATGTGGGATCCAGCACCTTTACCCTCATATACGACCTGCTGGCCCTCTTTTCATTTATTTCTTCTATGAGTGAGAGAGAGAGAGAGAGAGGGAGAGAGAGAGAGAGAGAGACGGCACCCCGAGTAGGGCCTCGATGCCATCATCCACCCCAGCCGCAGCCGGTCCTGGACCCCATGTTCCCCGTGTATTCAGGGAGATGGCCAGACACAAACCTGGGGTGTCCCCACGGGGGCCAGCCCCACAGAGCACCATCCTGGGCCCCTCCTCCAATTCCATTTGCAGCAGCCGTCCCCTTCTCCATCCTCATCTCACGCCCACTGGGTTGATCTCCTTGACTGCTCTTTGCGGGTTAACAGCCCCCGAAATTGGCACCTCAAAACTAAAGTTTTACGTCATAGTTTCAGTCTGAGATCTAAGCCCTCGCGAGGCCGTTGGGAAGATTTGATCTGGCATCCCTCTGTGGTGTCAAGGGTGCTGGAAACCCTCTGCCCATCCCTCACTGCCCTGGGCCTGCCCGTTTTCCCATGTGGCTCCGCGTGGCCTCCCTGCGCTGGTGGTTTGCATCTGTGACACCGTCTCCCTGGGGGGGTCTCGGTGGGTGCTCCGTCGTCCAGCCCCGACAGACACCTGTGCTCTGCGTCCTCACCCTCTTCACCCAGAGCAAACCCAGCGCTGCGCCCGCGTCCGCCTCGCCCCGCTTCGTACCGTCGCCTCGCCTTCGCGCCCCTTCTCGGTGGCAACACCTCTTTATGTGACTCCTCCGTCTGCCACTTGTTCACTTTTCAGTTCTGCCTTTTCCCACCTGTAATTTTCTCTCGTGAGACAGTTCTTTGCCGGCCTGTGGCACTTCACGCTCACTCCTCCAGGCTGCCGCACGCTCTGCTGGCCTGGCTTTTCCATCTGCCACTTCTCAGAAGGGAGCCACGGGGTGGCGAGCCGCCCTCATGGTCCCGCTCGCATCTCATTCATTCCTGCCTACACCGCCACGGCGAGCATCCTCACTGTCATCTGACAGATGCACAGCTCGAGCTCTGGCCGGGTAACCCGCCCAGGGTCCCACGCCTCGCTCTCTCCCCAGGCTCTGCTCCTCTCCAGGGCTCAAGGACCACATCTGACCCATTTTCAATGCGGCCCCAATAGGCCTTCTTCTCCGCAGCCTTCCATGGCAGCCACGGCCTGGACTGTCACCGCCTGCCCATCCATCTCGGAGCCAACAGAGCACGTCGCATCCCCCCTTTGCTCCTGGCCTGCCTCCGTCTTCCCGACTCTAATTTCGCTCCTGAATCCAGTTGGAAATTGGCTCTTCCAGACTGCAAAATTCCCCATGGAATTGTTCTGGCTGCTTTCAAGAATCTGTCCTGTCGGTCAGTTAGAGTCACCCACACGTACAGAAAGCCCGTGTTGACTGTGAGGAGGGACTGCGCACAGACAGGTGGAAAACTGACAACCCACGTGCGGAACAGCGCAAGTGCAGATTCAGACAGCACGAGCCGAGAACTGGAGAAAGCATGGATGAGCTGGCTTCTCGGTGTGGGAGGCTTCCCGAGGGCCGAGCCTGGGGGTGACAGCAGGGAGGGCTCTGCTGGGCAGAGGATGAGTCCCCTGTGACCTCGTAACCGCCAAGCCCAGTGGTCTTTGCACAGTTCTTATCCTGTGACATGCAAGGCAACCTGCTTCCCAGGCCTGGCCTGTGGTCGCATGGCCTCAGCAACTCTGCATGCTGCCTGCTCCTCTGCCTCCCACGAGTGGGCCTCCTGTGCTCGGCCCTGGGTGCCCCGTTGCCAGATGGCTCTGCCCACACACCCCTACCTTGCTTCTCACTCTAGAGGCAGGAGCTCCCTCCCAAGCTTTGTCCATTTCCTGGTTTCACTAGGATGCCGGTCCTTCACCCAGCCTGTGCCAACTGTCAGCCACCCAGCCCACGCTACTTGGGACACTGCTATGTGACCTGCTGCTTCCGGATCAGCCAGCCACCTGGGCCTGCTCGTCTCCCTCCCACAGCCGATGGGTTTCCTTCCCATTCCTGGCGCCCTTTGCTGTGGCTCAAGCCCATCTTTCCTGCTCTTACTGCTGGCCCGACTTGGGTTTCTGTCTCAGCCCCAAACTCACCTTGCTGTGCGTGGTGAGGCTGGGGCTGGGGCTCTGCAGACCTGCTCTCCCTTGCTAGGGATTTCCTGTGAGGCCGGACCAAGGTGAGCTCTAGAGAGAAGACGGGGGCTGGGGCCGGGAGAAGGGGCCGGCTGCTCTGATTCTCCTATCTCCAGTCTTACCCCAGCGATGGCCTCCACCCTGGCAGCAGGGCTGCTTCCTGTCCTGGTTTTCTCATTCTCTCTCTCCCTCTTTATATACTCCCAGGCTGGACTTCCTACACTCCGTCAGGGGAACCAGCGGTGGCAGGCAGTGCCTCTTCTCAGAGATCGCTCCTGCACCGTGAGCCCCTCCTCCGTGCTACCTGCCCCCCTTCCCTGCTCCTCCACACCTGGAGACAGAGCTCCCTCCTGTCATGACCTGCGCTGCCTTGGTGTCCTCCTGTCTTTCCAGTTCTCTGACACCTGCTCAGTCAAATGCCCTGCACGAAATCCTCACCATGCACGGTGAGACTTCTCGCCCAGTTTGATTTCTGCTTTAGCCTGGACCCTGACTTACATAGCACGGGGTACGAGCAGGGATCTCAGATGGCCGGCCTCCCAGGACACTCTGGACCTGGGACCCTCTACACAGGGCTGGGATCCTTGCCTCTGGGACATGGGTCTTTGTGGCCCACAGCATGTGGTGACATCACGGGCCAGGGGCTGAGCCCCAGAGGTGCCCAGCCGGGCAGCTCCTGCTCCTTGGAGGCCTAGGGCCCAGCTCTGCCGGTTCTTCTTCAAGGCTCTGACACCCCACCTGTACCCCATGCCGTGTCGCTGCGCCGCTTGCTGTTCCCACTCTCCAATGCCCAGTGAGTCAGCTCCCCGTTAGCATTTCCCCACTGAAACCCAAATGCATTGTTTTCTCCAATGGGACTTGACCAAAGATACTTCCCAAGTGGCCCTCTGTCACTTTCTCTCTCTCTCTCTCTTTTTTTTTTTTTTTTGTTGGGA